GAGAGAGAGAGAGAGAGAGAGAGAGAGAGAGAGAGAGAGAGAGAGAGAGAGAGAGAGACTTGCTTTAAGTTTGCTGAAAGGGCCTGGAGAGATGGCTTAGTGGTTAAGAGAACTAGCTGCACTTCCAGAAGACCTGAGTTTGGTTCCCAGCATCAACATCAGCCAGCTCACAACTGTCTGTACCTACAGCTTCAGGGGATCTGATATTCTCTTCTGGCTTCTGTGGGTATTGCCTGCTCCCCACGTATGGTAGCCGGAAGTTTCTCCGGTCCTGCCTGGCCCCATGGTCGGGACCAGTCTCTCCCACCCACGTCCAGCAGCTGCTTGGTCTCAAGTAAACACACAGAGGTTTATATTATTTACAAACTGTGTGGCCTATGGCTCAGGCTTCTTGTTGGCTAGTTCTTATAACTTAACCTATTCCTATTAGTCTATATGTTGCCACATGGCCAAGGTGTTACTGGTCTGCTGGCATCTTGTGGCTCCTTGGGTGGTGGACTGGCATCTCTCTTTACTCTCCTTTCTTCTTCTGTCTCTTCCATTCCAATGTCCTGACTAACCTTATTCTGCCTCGCCAACTGGCCAAACAGCACCAATCAGAGCAACCCATATTCACAGCATACAGAAACACATCCCACAGCACTTCCCCTTTTCTGTCTAATCAAAAAAGAAGGTTTTAACTTTAACGTGGTAAAATTACATAGAATAAAACCATTATCAAGCAAGAATTACAGTTACAATATCCAGTGGACAGGGGTCCCTGCAGACTCATCTGGTGAGAGTGCTGAGAATAAGCCCTTAACAGGACATCTATCACCTGTCCCCTGTCCCCCAAGGCTCAGGATACATCAGAGAAGAAGGGAAAGAAAGAGTGTAAGAGCCAGAGGATGGGGAAGAGTGCAGTGGAACCTTATCTTCCAGAGTGACATGCCTGTATTCCTGAACTTAGCTGTGGCTACCCTCACAAGATCTGCAAAGGATTAGGCTTGCCAACAAGGATCCCTTCAAAGTGTTCAATTCAAGGTTTCTCAGTGCATTGGCAACATTGTACAATCACCTCTATCATCTAATCCCAGACCATTTTATCACACCCTTTAAAAAGAGGCCCATGTTTAATATAGTGATTCACTTGTCCCCCCCCCCCCATCCCCACGTCAGTAAATTTTGAACTAAAAGAAAATTAAGAATGAAAAAGGAGTAAGTTGAAAGATACAGAACATTATTTCTGGATGTTTTGGGTGTAGAACACATGAATCTAAGCCCTTCCTTTCTTGGAAGACTATGAAGAATTAGAAGCAGTATTGCCAACGCACAATAAGATATGCTATGCTCATGACAAAATGACAGAAATTAAAGTCCATCACTCTGGGGCTCGAAAGATAGAGCTCAGCTAGTGAAACGCTTCTCTTCTAAGTATGAGGACCTGAGTTGAATCTCCTGAACCCACATAAAAAGCCAGGGTTGGTGGTGAGAGCTTCTAAGCTGGGGAGATGGAGAGAGGCAAAGCCCCACGTTCTATTGAGAGACTCTATCTCAAAAAACAAGGACAGCTCCTGAGGAACACCTGAGGTTAACCTCTAGCCTGGTGCATGTCTGGCAAGGATACATACAGTTGTACACGCACAAACATGTAAATACACCCGGGCAGCGCACACACATACACACACACGCACGCACACACTCCATCATCTTCAAATTCTTGCAATAGAAGCTGTCCTCTTGCCCATCTTAGACATTTTAGCCAGAAACATAGGCAGAGCAGAGACAGGGGAGACAGCATGAGGGTGGTGGGACCACGGAGGGGCTACCTGAATGGGTAGCGGGGAGACTGAGAGGCTGTGAGCAGTGAAATCCAGGTATATTTTCGGAACAATTTACCTCTTTCATCAAGCAAGTAGGATAAAGAGTCCTGGTTGCTCTAATTGTGGAACAGCGGCCCTGGGGTAATCTGAGAACTTAGCAGAAACGCGGAATATCCGATCCCACCTCTGCATCAGAATGTGCATTTCAACACGGCCCCGTGTGAGGAGCACGGCTTTTCCTGAAGTTCTAAGGGCACTTTACAAAAGTAAGAGATAAGGCTGAGTGCTCAGTACCCAGTCCCTAGACCTGCGAGGACAGGCGGCTTGGGAACCAAGAAAGGGGTGGGGCCAGAGCCGGAGCTGCAGAGTCCAACCAACCAGCCGCTTCTGTCACCCATTTCCAGTATGCATTTGGTTACCTGTCCTTGCTTTCCTGGAGAATCCCCTCCTACGGCCCCGGAAACTTGGCCTGCCCAGCCTGAGCCTGGGAATCGTCCTGTCTTCCTAGTCTTCTGAACCGTGGAGTCAAAAGCAGGGCGGTTGGCGGACTGACGCCCGGGCTCCGCCCCCTGGCCCGGGAGCCCCGCCCCCCACCGCCTCGCGGGGGCGGAGGGAAGCCAAGCCCCTCCCCTTCCGAACCACCCGGAAGTGACGTCATGTAGGAGCGGGCCCGTCTTTCGGTGCTCTTCCCCCTCCGGTGCTCTTCCTCCCCGGTCCCTTCCCTCCCTTTTCCCCCTTTACTCCCCGGGGTCGGGGTTCTGCGGCCGCGGGAGTGGCGGAGGAGATGGCGTAAGCGCCCGGCGGCGGCCAGGCGCGCTGCCCGAGCAGCCACAGCCCGGAGGCATTGAGGCAGCGGGCGGGGGCCGGGCCCCAGCACCGCCCCTCCAGGTAGCCGGCTGCGAGGTGAGTGAGTGACCGATCGCGGGCGCCGGGCGCCCCGGGTCTGCGGCCAGCAAGTGGGCTACGGCCTCCCCGAGCCTCGCGGCCAGCGACTGTTGCCCAGTGACGGGCCGGGTCGAGCGGGCCGGCGGTGGGAGGCCCGGGAAGACCGATCCAGGTAGCGCGACAAGCGGGAGGGAGCGGGTCTCAGAGGCCGGTGACTCCCAGGCGAGGCCTTCGGGCGACGGGAGGGAGACTCGGTGCCGGGGTCGCCGGCTGCTGGGAGAGTTCCCCCCGAGCCGGAGCAGGAGCTCGGGTTTCCGCGGTGGAGATCTCGCTATCCTTTTGGGAAATTGGACACTGCACTGGGACTGGTGAGACAGGCCCCCTTGTTTCTGAGACTCGGGTTCTGGTAACCTGGGTCACCAACTAAGGCCCCCCGCACTCCGCTGGCCCTTCTCTGACGGTGGTTGTCTTTCTGGACTGGACGGTTATTGTGTGTGAGGTGGGTGGGGCAGATAAGGTTTGTGAGAATAAAATCCCCATCGGGGGCTCCAGTGCGCTTGTTTGTTTAAGCTACAGAGAAAGGATAAAGGTTTAGACAGATAAAGCTTGCAGAAACTTCTTGGGATTCAACTGGACACGTTGCCTGTGATCAGTAATTAAGGCCACCACTGTCACCAAATCTACCTCTCTACCAGGATTGATGAGACTCCAGGGCAGCGACTTACAAGTGATTTGATTGTAAGTTCCAGCTGTGTTTTTTGCACATCAAATCCAGGGACTGTGTGGTGACACTTTAAAAAGCTTTCTTTAAGTTATCTAGGTAGTATGCGTCTGTTTGGAAAAAGTAATTTAACAAAAATGCTGCAAATCAGTCACCCATTATAAAACCCGAGCCTGTCTGGTGATTGCTGGAAAGATTCCTTTTCGACTTTGAAGGCTTTTCCCTGCTTAATAAAGGCTGGAGGAGAAGCGGGTTGTGTAAGGGAAAGTAACCCAACTGAAAATATGGGGCTTTATTCTGTTCAGATATACCTTACTCACATGGGAAAATTCTTCATTTTGTCTGTAAGAGCCGTAAACAACTAATACTCGTGTGTTGTAATTCCACACAATAGGACATTGCCTTACAATCCATTCTGTATTTGGAAATGATACCATTTTGATGTAGTTGAAATTTGTGATCTATCCTCTCAAGGAAAGAGTAGGGTCTCTTACTGTGTTTCTATTCCCTTCTATAGGAGTTGAAATCTGTCAAGTCTCTATCATGCCTCATTCTCCATTTCTTATGAAATCCTCTTGTTTACCTTTTAAACATTTCTTGAGTTCTCATTGTCTTCATCTTCAGCATTACCTTCTAGTTCTATCCACCATCATTTCTCTCCCACTCCATTAAGTCTTTAGCATCTAGAATTGTTAACTCTTGGAGTTTCTATGCTAGAATCGATATTTTCAAACTATAGATCTGATCCAATTGCTTCTTCTCACTGGTTCTAGGATTACCTGGAAAATTTAATGTGCTCTGTAAAGCCCTGCACAGCTGTCCCCTCTGTGTGCTCTTCCAGCTTCATCTCTACAGTACCTTTGGCATTCTTTTCCTCCCTTGTCACTGTGTCCACTGTCTTATCTTTCTGGTTCTCCTTCCACTACGTGGCTGTTGGTTATACTTCCCAGCAGTGTCCACGAGAGCCTGGAGATGCTCTTCTTTTCCTTTGCTTCAAGTTAATGCCTGTTATCATATTGTTCACTTCAGGGGGACTTGATCAGTATAAATTCTCATCACTAAGTGTTCTCAGGACACCATCTCAGGGTTCCTATAGTTGTGTCCCTCATCTGCTGATACGGCATAAATGCTTGTTAAACGAGTGAATTCACTGAGTGCTTACTAAGTGCACCAGAAATGTACTAAGTATTCTAGTTGTGTCATTATCTTTAATAACCACAACAGTCATTAGGAAGTGTGGGTGACTTTCCCTCCTTTTTCCTAGATTAAAAATTATATTAGGTAGACTAATGTATTAGTTGGGGTTCAAAGTATATTATAAGGAGGATTATTAGGTTGGCTTCCACAATAGGAGCTGGGCAGTTCCAACATTGGCCATATGCATGCTAGAGTGCCTATCCTGGTAGATGTTCAGTCCCCAAGGCTGCATATCTGTGGGCCCATTCTGGCGTAGAAGGTTTGGAATATTCGTGGAGAGCAGCTTGCTTCAGTCTCTATTGGGAGGCTGAAGAATCTGGTTTCTGCTGTCAGCAGGGATGGCGACAGCAGTGGCAGCAGCAGGGTAGATTTAGTCGCCTGCGAGGCATGAAAGCGGGCAGGGAAAATCAGCCCTGGTCTACCCTCAGATCTCTGTAGATCAGGGCTGCCGCTGGAAGGAGTTGCCTACTCCGGGGGGCAGTCTTCCTCCCCACAGTTCATTCTTCCACGAAATCCCCTCACATACCCACCTTAGTTGACCCCAGGTCCAGTGATGTTGACAAGCGATGGTAACCATTATGCATAGTATTAGCATTGGTATTGGCTGTTGTATACATGAAGCCCTCGATTCTCTTACATTGCTGCATGTCAGAGTCACCAATGTACCAGTGATCAAGCCTCAGATGCTCTAAGTGCAGCTTACACACTGCAGTTTACGGTTCTATTCTTAGAGTCGGGACAGTCCATAGGACGCAGTTACCCAGGGATTTAGGTGTTTACCAGTTTGAAACCTTTGTGTTGTGGAACTCTGAAGTGTTTCACGAGTTCATTGTCACACATTGTGCTACTTTACACTTCGATTTTTCCCTTTCCTTCCTTCTGTTTTCTTCTCCTCCCTTCTACCTTTTCCCTTCCTCCCTTTCTTCCCTTTTCCCCTTCCTTTCCTCCTTTCCCTCCCTTCTGTCCCCTTTCTTTTAAGTTTATACACAATTTTTTTAAAAATTGCATTTATTTGGTATGTGCACTGTGTGGGTACTTGTGCTATGGTGTACATGTTGGGGGTCAGGACAAATTACCGCAGTAGGTTCTTTTCTTCCACCGTGTGGGTCCTAGGGATGGAACTTGGGTCAAGTTTGGCAGCCCTAGGTTTTTAGGAAGGCTCTCATGTACACCATGCTGGCCCTGAACATAACTAGCTGAGACAGGACCTGAACTCCTGATCCTTCTGCCACTGGGCATGATGGGTTTCTCTCTCTGCCTCTTCCTCCTTCCCCTTTCCTTCCCTTCTTCCATCTGCTCCTCCCCTCTCCCTCCCTTTCTTTCATCTCCCGACACTGTGTAAGTAACATTTTTATTGTAATACATTGAACAAAAATGCAAGCCAGTGCTAGTTTTTAATACTCTTGGGCAGTAAAAGACTCTAGTTATTTGAGATGGAAGAGTTATTCTAGCATAATGTGATTTTACGTATTACTTTTTTTGGTTGTATCTAGTGTTCATGATCAATTAATTCCCCGTGTAACATGCTACCCACTTTTGCCAGGTGTCTATGCAGTCTAGTGTTACAGCAGATTGACCTGTGGGTTCCATCGAAAGCCAGATGGTAGAGGGCGACAGTCGGGGAGCAAGACTGAAGTTACTTCACTCAGATTCATAGTCACTGAGCTTTAAGTGGCAGGGGGAAGATGGTTGAGTTCCAGGTGACATCCTAGTGGATGAGAAGAAATGGCTTGGATATGAACAAACATTTCTCTCATTTATAATTCTGTCTTTTAGGAAAAAAATCGGCTCATTTCTCTTCTCATTAATCAAATAAAAATTGAAAAGCTATCATTTTTAGAAAAGATCCAACCTGCCTGTGTCAAGTTCCTACCAGGCTAGCACTGCACACTTTTAATCCCAGCATTTGGGAAGCAGAGCTTGGTGGATCCTGGTGAGTTTGAGGCCAGCCAGGACGAAATGGTGAGACCCTGTTTCAAGTACACAAACCAAAAGCCAACCAACCAAATCTCATGTAAGTTTAGGTAGTAATTTACTGTGCTGCTTTTCATTTTGTTTTGTGTTTGTTTCAGGCTGTATTTTATACATAGATTCACTGAAAACAATCCTGCCCTTGACCTGTTCCACTTACTTGGTTTTTTTTTTTTTTTTTTTTTTTTTTTTTTTTTGTTTTTGTTTTTCGAGACAGGGTTTCTCTGTGTAGCTTTGTGCCTTTCCTGGAACTCACTCTGTAGCCCAGGCTGGCCTCGAACTCACAGAGATCCGCCTGCCTCTGCCTCCCGAGTGCTGGAATTAAAGACGTGTGCCGCCGCCGCCGCCGCCACTACCACCACCACCTGGCTATGTGCTTTTCCTTGAGTTTCTTTGGATGACCCTTCCCAAGGCAACAGTCTTCTGTACTTATTCATGGTGCTTAAAGTTTTTCCATCAGTGCAGACACCTGTCTCAGTTTGGAGCTTCTATATCAAAAACTCTATATTTCCTTATATTGTCATTTGCACAACTCAAACTACCCAGATACAAAATTGAGTTCTCCCTCCCCTACCAACAGTTACACAAATGCCGTGACTTGGTAAATGGCTTCTTCTCCACTTGGAGTTTGGAACTGGATTGCGGGTGAAGAGGGGGAGTCCTGGCTTTGTCTCCTCCCTTTGTGAAGTCACTAAGTTCTTGTCACTCTAAGCAGAACTTGTTTATCTTTTCTTTGTTCTTCCTCACTGCTGTTTCCTTGGTTCAACAGTTTGAAATGTGAAGTGTAACAAAGTTGCATAACGTAGTTATTTCATAATTATAAAGACATTTCTATGTAGCTAGCCATCTTCGTCTCTGTTTCCACATGTAGTTTCCTTGGTTCTCTTGGGTTTTTTATATCCTAAACTGTGTCATCTCTGAATACATGGTGAAGGTCTCTCCAGCCTTCCATGTTCCCAGCCTCCACCCAGTGTATCTTCTGCTCAGTTGGATGAATTGATTAGTCATCTACGCAATGCCAGGGAGCCTTCTGTGACTTCTCAGAGCCTGGCTGGTTCATATCATTCATTGCTCTGGGTAGTCTGGACTTTCTGGTGTCCTTTGCCATATTTTCTTCCTGCTTTTGTCT